TCATTGTGGTGATATGTGTTTAATCGGTATCTGGAACTGATTACTCTAGTCGGAAGACGTTCTGTGATGTGTTCTATGGGATGAACAATTATTATGTTCTGATATGAGAATGATTATGCTATGATCTGTTTTACGCTTATGATATGTTCGGAATTCGTTCACTAAACCCTTTACCTTAATGTTATTCATCGGGCTTTAGCTCATTGTGTGTGTATATATGTATAGGTGAGCATTCTGGAGCCCAAGCCTGAAGGCTTTTGTTCGGATCTATGTTCTGTTGTCAGCAAACCATTGTGCCTCACGTGGAGGTTCCCGAAGAGTCCTGTGTTTAAGTTCCGTTTGTTTTTGTACATATAAGACTTGGTAGTTTTGTTGGCTGTACTTAAGATACTTTAATGTATGTGGATATAATGTATGAATGACTATTACATACTTATATTAAGTTTTAAATATTCTGTTCATATAAGTCAGCACAGCTCATTGGACAACTGTATTTATGTATTAGCTTCCGCTAGCCCCTTAATCTTGTTAATCTGTTCAGAGGCCTTCGGTAATCCAAGGATTACTGGGCGATTACGATGCTAAACCTATAGGGGCGGGTTTGGGTCGTGACAGAGTGGTATCAGAGCACGAGTTATACCACACACACGTGTCCATATAAGCTATAAGATGTCCTAGAAATGAAATAAGGATATTGCATTACCATGTTTAAGTGTATGAACTATTATGAACACATCCTTATTGAAAGTGAATTGAAATGAAACCTTTGTGCATGATCAAAGAAGTTAAGTGGAATAACATGTAATGTTATTTTCAATATCGAATGTAGAATCTATGTGAATATGAACGTATGAAAGTAAGGGATCATGCGACTGTATCTGAATTGAAATGAAAGTATAAGCGCGTCAGATATGAAATGAAATGTGAGAACAGTGAGAACTTTCCTTATATTAATAAGCACCCTGCTTGTGTGTAGCCCATGGAAAGGACAAGGAATATAGATGAATCTGAATCTTCCGACGCTAGAATTAGCCGGTTAGAAAGAATGGTTGAAGCCTTAATCGAAAATCTGAAACAACAGCAACAAGGGCAAATACACGTACCTGAACCAGCTAATTATGATATGGTAACACTGACACAGAAATACAATAAGATGAAACCACTGGAATTTCAGGGGGTATTGAACCATTGAAAACTGAGGCTTGGGTCTTAGAAACTGAGAAAATATTTGAGTATTTCCGTGTACTGAGGCATATAAGGTTTTGTTGGCAACATTCACACTTAAAGAATAAGCTAGGAGATGGTGGATGTTAGTACGAAATGATAATGAAGGTGTGACGCGGGAGAGGTTTAAAGAAATTTTCTTCGAAAAATACTATCCCCAATGCATCCGGGATAGGAAGGTATCCGAATTTGAACAACTAAAACAAGACAATATGATTGTGGCCGAATGTGAAACAAAATTCACCGAACTGACCCGATATGCACCCACATGATAGACACTGACTACAAAAAGGCTAGAAAATTTGAAGGTAGGCTTGACTTAGATGTGTTTGATCAAGTTGACGTCTTAAAATTGCCAAAATACGTGGATGTTCTTGATAGGGCCTTAATGTTTGAGGCAAACATAGCAGCCTTGAAAATATCAAAGTCAACATTATCAACTGAATTAGAAAGAGCGAAACAGAAGAAACAGAATGTTGAAATGACTAGTAATTCGATAACTTCTACGAATGAAAAATCTAGGGCGAAAACTATGAACAAAGAAAGCCGGGGAAGCAATGTGAACAATGGTATACCTAGTTGTAAATAATGTGGGAAACAACATTGGGGCATTTGTCGCCGCCTATCAGGGGCTTGTTTTAGATGTGGTCAGAAAAGGCACTTGGCTAAATCTTGCCTGCGAACTCATCCGAACAACACTAGGCCTAATGCTAGTATGATTGGTTCTGTTCTTGCACCCTAGTTCTAGAAAAAGGCTCGGAATACTGAAACAACTGACGCAGATATTACCTTAACTATGTGCAATTGTTTATATGGGAATTTGTGTGGAAGTGTACATTCCTTAATTTGATATAGATTGTGGACATGCTAATTGAACCAACTGAATTGTTAGAATTATGAATCCTAGTTATTGACTGCCTCGAAAACTTGCTAATTTTATGTGAGATGCCCGAAGCCCTATAGCGAATTACCTGAGCTTTGGGAATTGTTGAGACTTATGGACAACAAGAACTTGCTGGGTTAAATCCTTGTACCGTATTGCAAAATTTAATATGAACTGTTAGATATGACCTTTGAACTATGCTAGAACTATTGAACATGGGAACACATCATGATTGACTATAGTTTGGGAAATCTGTACGACCATGACTTGAACTGAACTGTTATATATTGATTGAGGTTTATCCACCCAAAAAATTTGACTGGATAAGTGTGATTAAAATTTAATTTATATAGTATGCAATTCATTTATATAATAAAATTTGAATCATAAAAGGATAATTTTTAATAATTCCTAAATAATTGAGTTTGAGTTATACTGAGATAAAAAGAATCTCTCTTCAGACTCTTGCTTGACTTGGTTGGTTGGTTGCCCAAATCACAACCACCACCACAACAGAGCAGAGCAACTATCCCATCGTTCTCAAATGAAAATATATACTACTCTTTTCTTCCCCGTATTACCTTTTCCCCAACCCTACACATACGCATATTTGTACCCCCAAATTCACAACTATACATCACCCACACAAATATATTATTAATAATAAGCTCAATGAATCACGGCAGGCCCAGGGAGGGAGAGGGTGTGTTGAAAATGTATGGTGATTACATTTTGGATTAAATTTTCAGCCATTAGATTCATATCATCTAATGGTTCGTATTTTGACATAGGAACAAACGTCCCATCAGGATAAAAAACTGAACTGTTTTGTTATATAGGTTTCGTTTGGAAAGCAAAAGTTGGAGTTTTTTTTGGCTATTTTAGCCACAAAAAAACAAAAATTTTTTTTTTGTCAAATAAGACAAAACATCACATTCAATCTATAATCATTACATTTTTTTTCTCACAAAAAATCAAAAAAACCTAAAACCCTTTCCAAACCAAACTTTTTAACCCCAAACTAAAAAAAAAAAATAAAAAATCAACACACTTCTCAAACCAACCCATAGATTTTTATTTGTGTTTTTGTTTGGGAGAGAAGAGGGGTTGGGTTCCTCTTCAGTTTCTCTTTTGTTGCCTTCCTTTCTCGATGTTTTCGTTTTCAATTTATATTTATAAAAATTTTATAAACTGGTTTTTGTTTATTTTTTTGTTTAATTTTAAAAAACATAAACTACAAACGCGTTTGGTAATTGACAAAATGTTTAAAAAATTTTAAAAATATAAAAAATAGTGAGAAATGGCAAGTGGTGGTAGGTGGCGGCAGAAGACGGTGGTGGAAAGTGGTGACAGTGGGTGGTGGCGGTGGGTGGGTGGGTGACGGTGGCGGATGGTGGTGGTAGGTGGGTGGCGGATGGCAGGTGGGTGGTGGTGGTGGTGGTGGGTGGGACGGTTGGGGGGTGGTGGGCGTGGTTAGCGAAACGGTGACACGGGTGTGGGTGTAGCGAGTGGGTGGTGGTGGCAGGTGGGTGGTGGATGACGGTGGTAGTGGGTGGTGGCGGTGGATGGTGGTGCGGGTGGTGATGGTGGGTGGGTGGGTGACGATGGTGGGTGGTAGCGAGTGAGTGGTGGCGGGTAGTGGGTGGTGGTGGCAGGTGTGTGGTGGAGCCGGGGTGGTGGTGGTAGGTGGCGGGTGGTGGTGGTGGTGGTGGTAGGTGGGTGATGGTGGTGGCGGGTGGGTGGCAGGTGCTGCTAGTGGTGGTGGCTGTGGTGGCGGGGTGGTGGTAACAGGTGGGTGGTGAGTGGTGGTGGCGGGTAGGTGGCGGGCGGTGGATGGTAGTGGCGGGTGGTGGTGGCAAGTGGGTGGTGAGTGGTGGTGGCAGGTAGGTGGCGGCGATGGATGGCAGTGGTGAGTGGTGGGTGGTGGCTTGAATGGCAGGTGAGTGTTGGTGGTGGTGGTGGTAGTGACGAGGGTGGCTAGTGGCAGGTGGTGGCGGGTGGCAGGTGGGTATTAGTGGCGGGTGGTGGGTGGTGAGTGGTGGCGGCGGTGGAAGACGGTGGTGGAAATGGTGGTGGTGGTGGCTAGTGTTGGGTGGTAAAAAAAAAAAACTCAAAACGGAACCACATTTTTGAGTTTATATTTTTTGACTAAATTTATAAATTGAGACCACTAATTTATAAATAAAAAATTTATCAAATAAGTTTTTATTTAATTTTAAAATTTTATAAATATAAACAGAAAATTAAAAAGTTAAGTAATACCAAACGCACAAAAAATTAGAAAGAGAGAGAGAGAATATTCCACAATTTGGATCCACACCTAAACCCTCTCTTTGATCTATCGAATCTATTAAAAAAACTCGGCTTTCTTAAAGAAACACAAAGTTTCGTTTTGTTTGTTTGTATTTGAGAAATATATTTTGAGATAAAAAGTGTAAAAGTTTGTTTGGTTTGACTTTTTTTCAAAAAATATTTTAAAAAAATTTTTGAAAAAAGAATTTTAAAAATGATTGATTTAATACGTATGAAAAAAGAGTTTTGAAAAATTTATAACTAAACAAGTTTTGAAAAAATTTATTTAATTTATATTACTTTTAAAAACTTATTTATAAATTTTTTTTTCTAAAATTAGTTGAGAAACACACCAAACAATTGATCTATCGAATCTATAAAAAAAAAAAACTATGCTTTCTTGGAGAAACACAAGACTACTAACACTAACAATCATATTCTCATAGACCGTGAGTGAAGTGCTAAGAAGACGTGTGAAATCCCCAAAAATAAAGCTTTGTTTCTTCTTATTGTTGCTCGTATTTTCCTGGTACAATCGGTGGAGAATGGAGGAGCAGCCGAAAGAAGAAGAAAGACGTGATTCGATTGGAGCGGGAGTCCGTAATTCCAATTTCTGAAGCCGAACTCATCATGACGTTGGCCAATCTCATTGGTATGGTCTTTCCTTTTCTTCTTACTATTTGCAGATTCCCTTTCATTTTGCCTTAATCGTTTTCTAAAATCCCAATTTCCATTCATTTCCCCAAAACCCCCTTTCTCTCCACAAATTCACGATTCAAACACATATTTATCAAAGTTTTTACATCTTACTTACTGCTAATGCTACACTCTAATCTGATTTTGCCTTGGTATTGAACCCACACTGAATTCTCATGAACTGAAATGGGCAGTAAGTATTAACAAGATAGCTTATGTTTTTCTAACGAATTTTGGGTTGACATTGATTCCACACCATTTTTTTGGGCAACCTGCAACGTAATGCGGGCTTAAAAGCATTTCTATTCTTTCTCTTCCTCTAATAATAAAAAGAAAAAAAAAAGATCATGAATAAAATGGAAAAATGTGTCCATTTTGCCTAAATAAATAGACTCTCTTGTGGATTATGACAGTGGTTTATTTGCTTAGTTCCCAATTGTGATTTCTGACCAAGTTCTGAAAGGACCTAAATGCTTTGTCTTTGGCTTTTGATTCCCCCAGAACACAGTTCTGACCGGGCTGAATTTCTAAAGCTTTGCAAGAGAGTTGAATACACAATTCGTGCTTGGTATCTTCTGCAATTTGAAGATCTGATGGTATTATCATCTATCACTTGTGTATCAAAATGAAGACTTTCCAACACCTCCTCAGGCATTTTTAGTCTGATGATGTTGTTATTTTTTTTCACATTTCCATTCAATACCTATTGTGCTTGCAGCAATTGTTCTCCCTCTTTGATCCTGTCCACGGGACTGAGAAATGTGAGCAGCAGAACCTAACTTCGGATGACAATTGACATTCTTAGCAAGATTTCCTGGACTTATTTATTTCAGTGTATCATGGCTTCTGCATCTTAATTAACAGGTTTGATGTCCTGAAATTTCCATTGGGGGTCCTCTACAGTCTACATTACATGCGTAAATTGTTTGTTTAAAATTTGGTCCTTGAATATATTTATACACAGCTACAATATCCCAATTGCAAGTACAAGTTCATTTTAATACACACAAAAGAACTACAAGTTCCCTTCCTTCCCTAGAACATGCATGTATGAGGCAATATAGATGTTATAGCATCAAGTGTGTGTATTCCTGACTTAGAATCACTAAAATAACTGTTTCAAGTTTTGAGTCCATTTGTGCTAGTTTGACTATCAGCTGTAGTTTATCAAGCAGCGACTGTTGTTGGTTTTTTAGCTGCAGTTACATATTATTTTATTTATTTATTTATGATTATCTGCTGTAAAATTGTGATTCCTTGGCTTTGCCAGGTATCATGAAAGCATCCTTTGTATTTATACTTTATCTTCTTCCTGATAGCTTGTACCTATTACGTACTCTGAAAAGGATGTAAGTTTCAAAATGTTATTAAGGAAACAGAGGATACACACAATGTATTTTGCGGGTCTGCAATATGCATTATATTAATAATTTCGTAAAGAACTATAATTCAATCTATTAGAGGCTCCAGGAGTGTACACTGCTGTGTTTTCACATTGCTTCCTGGTTGTTGACAACTGTTTTGGCAATAGTACAAGCAGTAACAGATGCAGCACAATGGGAAATTCCATGTCAGAACTTTATAGACCTACTTGTAACCCAACTATTGATTTCTAAATATATAATTGAATTTCTCATTTTTCTTTCTAGCTGGAGGGAGCCTATTTTTCTTCATATTTGGAATTATTTTTCTTTGACTTGTTTTATTTTTTATTGGACAGATTTGGACTAAATGTTTCCCAAATTTTATTATTGTATTTTTCTAATTTATCATGCAGGTAATGGAATAAGAGCAATTTCAAGATAGCCACTGATGATGAGATCGAAGTTGCACATTCAGGGCAGTATCTTCTAAATCTTCCTATAACAGTTGATGAATCTAAGGTTTGTAATAGCTTGTGTGTTTAAAGTGAAAATGGACATATGAGTTCTTTGGATATGCTTGTTTGCGCGCGCGCGCACACACACACATTTAATGTCTAATATCAATTCTGTTTTTTTGAATGTAGCTTGACAAGAAGCTTTTGACGAGGTATTTTAGAGCATCCTTGTGAAGATCTTCCGGACTTCGCTGATAAGGTATTGATATATATGTAGCTTCCCTTGTAGATTCTGGTGTTGCTTCGCTGTTATTGAGTTGTAGGTGGCTTTGGATCCCTCTCAATTATTGTTATAGGAGATAAAGGAGAATTCTCCCACTCTGATGGAGCCCTGAAACCTGAGGCTTTGTTGAAGATCAGCTAGATGAATTACAAACGAAATCATTCAAATATTTCCTTTAGCTGAGTAGAATAAATTCATCATCTTTTCAATCACTAATCAACTTGTACCCCATCATTGTATTATTGTATGTGAAGGACCACGTTTTGAGGAGTCTATAGCGCTATTAAGTAGTAAAAATTTCCTTCCATTGTATCTGTCATTCTGTTCTCTCTCTCTCCCTCCCACCCCCCTTAGAAAAATGATACTAACAATGTTAGACTTAGGATTAGATTCATTTTTTCTTGGTGCTTTTCCAATCCAGTGGATGTTTTCCTTGATTAAATTTTGTGTGCTCATTACATTATGGAGAATATCATTAAGAAGGTAATTTTGTAAATGTTTTTGTAGTATCAACAGGTTAATTAGGATATATAATTTGATGTTTTTGTAGTGTTTCAGAGTTTTTTTTTTTTTTTGAAACATCAACAATAAATTTTATTAAGAAAAGCAATAGAAAAGAGATGATATATGTAGTGTTACAAGTTAATTAGGATATATAATTTGATTAGTGTTTCTAATGACCGAGAGTTATCTTTAGTTTCCAGTTAGCAAAAAAACGAGAGATAATTTAACCCTTAATTATCTTAGAATATGATTCCCTTTACAAAAAAAATAAAAAATCTTAGAATACGAGGTTATTTTTATTTCCAGTTAAAACTTCGGAATCTCAATTGTGAATGATGTTACACATACTTTGCAATATGACTCAAACAAGCTTATGATGATGGCTTGTATCTGATTTTAATAAATTTGACATTAGTCATATGGTTGTGATAGAATGGCAGAGCAGATGTGTGTTGGCAGCATTGCTAACCTTAATAAAAGTGTTTGTTTGTATTGAGAAATATAATAAATGGTAAGTTTGCCATTTTTTTTTTTTTGTAGTACGTAATATTCCGCGTGGCATTGGAATTGATCGGACAACTAACTACTTCTTCATGGAGAAAGTGGACATGCTCATTGCACGCTTGTGGGCATCGCTTTTGAGAAAGACTAGGTGAGTTAACAGCTGGGACACATCAGCAGTATTTGGCCATTATCTTGACCCTTGTGCAAGTAACTTTCACATGTTTAACTGTGATCAGATGTCAGAGAGTACAGGGCTGTCTGTAAATGCCCTTGAATGTACCTCATCTTGTTTGAATAAGCTGCCATGCCTTTTTTTTTTAATTTTTTTATTTCGTGGGGTTGTAATGCTGCAGGCTAGAAAGAGTTTTGTCCAGTAAGTCAAATCACGGCGCAAGAAAGATCCGAAAAAAGATGATGAATTTATTTCTGAGACAGAGCAGGATGACTTATACGTGGAACGGATCCGTCTTCAAAACATGGAACTCAGGTAACTCAGGTTTTGAATATCATCATCTTGGTCTTGCAGTTTGATAGCTGACAGTCTTTGCTTTGGGGCCATTTGCTTTCCAGTCTAAACATATAAAAGATTCTTTCCCCCACCGTTCTCTTTGGGCTTCTAAAATGCATTATTCGAAGTTGTTTATGAAATAAATGAAACTCAAACACATTGTAACGCTCTCAAAATCATACAATAAATATAACCCAAAGCATAAATAATAATCTCATAATTTAGTATAAATAGTCCTTTCATTACATGAAGTTAATGATACAAAAGTGTTTAACGTAGATAAATGTCCTATCGGTTTACACCTTTTTAAGCCTTGACTTGGTTACAACAAAATGAGCTTCGCTCAAATTACATTTTAGCCCTTGGCTTTACAAAGAAATAATAGAAAGAGAAAGCTCTTGCTTCCAATAGTCCCTCCAAGCTATTGCCTTGGCGGAGGCATGTGCACCAACACCTGGAAAGTTATTCCCAAGTAGGGTGGAGTACAGTCCAGTATGAATCATCTAATACAGTATACGAAATTTAGCAAAGGTATAAATACAAGGAGTGTATACAATGTCTAGTAAAACATCCACGATTTATATACTCAAAAAGTAATCAAATTTTACATCATAATCCAGTTTTCTCCAATTCACTTCCAATTCATTTACTTATCTCAATTCATGAGTCATATTTCATATTTCTTTAACAATCCAAATGAAACTACAACTCAATGGTTCAATGATCACATCATCAACATACAAACACTTCAAAACTGTCCTTTCACGGATATTTCGCTCGCGGGAAACCGTCAAACGGGACTTATGTAAACGTAGGCTATACAAGTACTACCATTGCCATTTTAACGAATATTTCGTCGGCGAGATTGGCAACCCATGTATAATTTCGGGACTTTCACACAGGACACTCCGGTCAACTAATTATAATGGAGTCCATCCCCTTTCTCCTCCTAAACAATCATTCATACATATGTAATGTATTTAAACAACATAATCATATATGGAGCACATCCCCTTTCTACTCTCAAATAATCATACATATAACAATGTATATAAGTATAGTCTAATTTAAATGACAATCATAAGCGATTAGTTTCAATTTACTTAATCCTCATGCAATTTCTATAACAATCATGGTAATCCTCCACCGATTGCACAATACAATATTTCTAAACAGATATTTAATCTCAGACAGATAATCTATTCAAAATTTTCAAAGATTGAGATAATACATAACCAATCTCCACCATTCATACTAATTACCCTTCCAATCTTACATTTTCATTTTTAACTTCAACTATTTATATAAAATAATAGCTTGATCTATTAGGGCAGACTCTCCCCTCTTTCCCCAAACATTAACCAAAGTGCCAAAAAATCATCAAATTAGACACAAACAACATATTTTCATACCCCACGATCATTTTTCATCTTATTCACCAAAACCCCTCTTTCCATTTATACCCAAACCCTAGGTTTATTCAAAACTTTTCCAAATCACACCATTGTTACACAAATGACAAATATTTAAGCTAAATAACATATGAAGGTGTAGAAAAATCCCTATTTCAAGGAAGAAGATGAGCCACGCAAGAGAGAAACTCCAAGAACACTGAAACTTTCACTCTATTTAGATCAAAATGTAGACCTTGATGCACTTTAACCTTTTTTCTTAAAGGCACTAGGGTAAAGAGATCGACGAATCTAGATGAAATCTAAGAGAGAAGGTGAGTTTGAGAGAGAGAGGCTCAAGAACAAGGTTTTTGGAAAGTTTTAGAGAGAGAAATGAAAAAGTGATTCAAAAATATCTTCTCGGACTGTTATACATGCAGTCTTGCTTCCAACGTGGAAAAGTGACGCTCCGAGTGTCAGACCCAAAGTTCCGCTCGAGTGTGGAATGCACACTTCCAGAAGTTCCTGCAGACGAAGTTCCCGCTTGAGCATGAGATGGAGGCCTCGAGTGGTCCAATGCATTTTCCTAGTATTTGCAGATCTACAAAAATATTAAGAATTGACCAAGTCCTGCTCGAGCTTCAAGAATGGTCGCTCGAGCGGAGGAGCAATTTGTGAATGCTCGCTCGATGGTGGAAGAGTCAAAAGCTCTGGGCAACACAGGTTTTGGAATACAAACAACCAACCATTCCAAACGCATAATCACAACACCTGATAACCAAAATAAGGGGGAGAACAAAGGAATCAAGATATGAATAACCATTCTAAACTATACTAGCCTAAGTCTGGAATACAATAGATAACGATTTAAAAAACCGGAATCGCTAACTTGCCTCCCTTTAAGAAATTTCGTCCGTGAAATTACAAATCAAGTTCAAATCTACAATAGACCATTTACTACAATGTTATTCCAACAAATTCAATAACACGACCATCCTCTTGGTCAATCCATTCCTCATT